CCTATTATTTTTACTCGTTATTAGATTATTGTCGGTAGTTCGACAACAAGTAATAACAAAATAATAATAATAACAAGTACCAAACAAAATATAATAATAATCATAGATAATGAACAACGTCTTACAGATATAATATACGTCCGTCTACCTGCGTTAATTCGTTTATAGTTTATACTGGGTTTGTCGTCATTGCAACTTGCAACATCACCACCTTACCATACGTACATTAATATTATAAAGCCCCAGACACTGATCAAAATTAACACGGGGAAGATACTTGTCACACAAAATCGAGGCGGCAATCTTCTGAAGGCTACACCACTATAATTTTATACCTATACATTATTATTTTTATTCGTGTAGAGATATAACACATGATACGAAATAGGTCTTTGAATAGAAGAATTAAATAATAAATACTAAACTGAGGAGATTTCTGCATATTATTCGATATAACAAATCTAAACATTGAATTTATATTTTTTAACAGCTCCATTTGATTGTATTCCAGCCCATCCTTTTGATTTAATGATGTCTTAGGGTTGGCAACATTGTGAACAACGATACTACGTCAAAACTCACTAACATTTCTCCTTCCGACCATCGCATTGATCTTAGTATTTCCACAAAACCGGCTGAATCCTTAACAAACGTGTCAGTTTTTCCAGTCTCTTTCTGCACTTTTCTTGACAAATATCCTCCTAAATGGTGCGTAGGACTATTTATTACACTGACTATTGGTCTGAGAGGCACTCCTTCTTCATGTATCTTCGGTACGCCATATATGCGGGAAGTCTTGGTACCCTCACTAGGAGTTTTTTCCCGTATGCTACTTTCCAGACCCGATTTCTTGATTGTGTCGCTGACTTGCTTTACTAATGTCTTGAAAGGACTCTTCTTCAAAAACGTATACGTCCCCTCCTTCAAGAGCTTTTGTATCGTAATTAGCCGTGTTCATAATTACCGTTGCATTTCCCTTGTCCGCCCGGAGTACCAACATTTCATTGTTCATCTTCATTTTCTTTGCCGTCCTCAGCCAGCTTTTGGTTATGTTTGTGCTTTAACTTCTCTTAACAGCTTGCACGTTTCCCCGTCTAATGATTTCTCGCTCGACTTCCAGAGTACCCGGTATCTTGTTTGGAGCTATTGCATAATTGAAATCGTTTTCCAGAAGTTTTAACGCTGTCTTCATCTAATTGTTTTGATGACAAATTTACTATGGCTGACTTTTTCTCTTAGTAACCTCTGGGCTCTGGTTCGATGTTGCCGGTCAAGATATCCAAAAGGGAGTAACCGCAAGGCGTGTAAATAGTGTAAACATAATACCCCATTCTACGACACCGGGAAGTGAGTTAAATTAATTTTGCAAGATTTGAAAATACCCATAAAAACGTCATAATATTAATATTTTCTGAGAAAATGAGTGTACATCAGTAGGATCACTCTGTTTATAGTTATTACTTATTCCTAATTTTTTTATACTTCCAATACGTTAAAGATACATAAGAGTTCTAACTCCAGACAAATTTTCAACAATATAGTTCTAAAATTACAACCAAAAAAAAAAAATCGACGTGAAAGTAATACGACTGTACTTATAGGAGCATACCAAATAAATATTCCCCCCCCCCAACAAAGTACCAGATAGATAAAATTTGTCTTATATAGAGTTGAATATATATATAGTTAGTAACAAGAAAAGAAATTAATTACTTTGACGAAATTAATTTTATGCGCTTTACTTGGTTTTTTCATTTTTATACACAGCAAATGAAACTACTGGCATCGATGTCCAACAATGAAAAAATAATTCCTAAAATGAAGGAATTTTATGATAGTGGTTTAGAATATGTACAAGGAGTTTTGCCGAAGAATTGCGGAATTGACCATGAGAACACCGAATCATCTAAAATCATTTTTAATAGTGTATTTATGTTAGATTATAGTTCGGAGTTAGATAAACTTACAAATGTATGTAAACAGCAGTATTAACAAAACTTACTGTCGAAGGCTTTCATTTCGACCGGCTATATTTAAACAATGTGCTCGAGGACAAAAAGATTGTCCTTCGAATACATTTTTCGTTTGTTTGATGAATTCGTATACAATACCCTTACCGAAAGTTTTGTTGGCTTAGAAAAAAAGTGACACAATTGTTGATGAACTGTCTACTATAGTGAAATCGTTTAAAAATTCAATGACATCGTTATACATTAACCCGCTGCAATCTGTTCGCAAATATTTTATTCTAATGTTAAAAACAATAATGTTACGGATTTTTCAGACATTCATAAGCCACTTGAAATCACTGATATGTTTTCGCCCACAAAAATATGTAGATCAGTTTATATTTCATTTGACAAATTTCGCAAATTTCTTGGGATTGTACAACGGCCAGGACGATTTTATGATACTAACAAACCAATTAGAAAAGTGGGAAAAAATACATAGGTCATTTTGGAGTATCCTAATGCCCTATAAAATGTGTGATAGGATCAATCGTATGCTGAAATCATATGACAACGATAGATAAACAGAGAGAATGGACATTGACATAAAAATATCATTGGAAAATATTGAATTAGAAATGAAAGCTCAAGGACTCTGAAAATAATGATTAAGTTGGAACTGATGCTCCTAAAACCACAATACATACGGAAATTATCGAAAATGATATTCAGGATACTATTGATTGTGATAAAAGAACAGCTGAAGCAACTAAAACCAGAACGAATAGAAAAGACATTAAAAAAAAAGATTTTGGATACTATCGAATGTGCTAACGATTTGGTCAAGTATTTAAAAACAATTTTAACAGGTTAATTCCTAATTTCCTAAAATAACATTTCCTAAAACTTTAAATGTTTTTCATAATTAGATTAAATATCTAAACATACTATTTGTTAAATTTAATTTTAAACATTGGTTCCCCTTTAACTTCATTAGTCAACTTATTTTAATTAAAAAATGAAAACTATTTATTTCTTTAGACGTTTACCGAAAGGTAGCATCTCCATTCATGTTCTTCAACTCTTAATCCGTGATAAAAATATTATAATAAAAAAAAAAAAATGGGAGGAAAGATAGATTTTGAATTGTCTATGATAAATTTGCATGCTGCATCGTTTGAATGTTTTGTTTTTATTAATTGGTATTGGAACTTTATTTATATTTCTCTCCTCTAATTAATATATATATATATATATATATTTTGTAATAAATATTATAAATGTCTTAAGTTGCAGAATAACTTAAACTTTATTTGTTACATTGATGTTTGTGATAACACTATAAAATGTATGGCATTTATTTTAACACTACACATAAAGGCCGCCAACGGCGTATAGTTTGAAACAATAGTTATATTTCCTTATTATAGTTTATGCAATTAAATCCTTAAGTATTTGTTATTTATTATATTATCGACAATATTCCTATTGATTGTGTGTTATCTTAATAATGATTATGTTTAATAAAAGGCTAAAATATTTTTTATCTGTGTTACTTTCGATTTACGGTTGTAAATTTATTTATTCTATTTAACAGCAAATTAATACAAGTGGGTTGTTCGTGTCTTGGATAAAAATAATATAAAAAATATTTGTTTGTAAAATATATTATTTTGATCCATAGTGCTGCAATTATTGGTCTCAGAGTACCTACAAATTACCAGATCCGGCCATTATTAATTTTAATATTTTTATTTATCGTTTTATCGTTATTATTATTTTTCTATATAATTGTTTATTTACTTTCCACGTTTCAGGTCATGTTGTTTATTGAAATAAGAAAAAAACGTATTTGGATGTGTTATTTGGTATGCTTTTTCAAATAGTGACTTGTTAGGTAAACACCTATGCCCTACTAAGATATATACATAAAAAACAAAATAACGTCTTTTAAACCGACCTAGTTAAATTATTTTGTTTCCAATATTAAAAACAAATTGTCTAGCCGTTCCGAAACGCAAAAATATGTGCCTTCGGCCCATGCCCATACATCAACAATATTCATATTATTTTGTGTTATCTCAATAATGATTAAGGGATTCCCAGGTGGGTTGTCAGTTGATAGCTGCAAGGTAAGTGGATTTGAGCTTGAGCTAAATTAGTTTTGAGTGACAACGGTTGTAATACAATTTGGCAATCTCGTTTACCGTTTGAACATTAAGGTCGCGCTGTAGATAGTCATTTGTCACAAACCTAGTAGCTCCGGTGATCACACTCATACAAATATTTTGGAAAGCCTGAATAGTTCTTATATTTGTGGATTTAAAACTTTTTGTTTTTTAGAAGTAAGAACAAGACGACCTCCTCCAAAAAAGGACGAGGTGTGAACAACAACATCACAAAATAAATCTTCCTTGATAAGATGTAACTTACATTACAAACATACAACAAGACGTTACTTACTAGATTTCTAAGTAATAATTAAGATATAATAATTTATATACCAATTTCTTTACTAAATATAAACTAAGTATTATACCAGAAACAAAAAAAAAAACGTTTATATCTTGTAAACGATTAATTTCAAATTTTCACTTAAACTATTAGAGATAGAAAGTCGATTCCTAGCCCGTTAAAAAGATGTCATCAAAAAACACCCTCCCCTCTAAATGTTTTTACTATTTGAATAAAATGATATATTTAATATTTATTATTCAAAAATTAAAATATTATCAAGCCATTTTGTCAATATTACCTGAAATTCTATTTTTATGTTATATAGAATTTATACATATACATTTTCAAACCCTTTTTATAATACTAGTTTAACGATTAAAATATAGTTAAAAATTGATCGACAAAAGTCTATTAAATTATTATTGTTGTAATATTCGTAATAATATAATATTTGGTGTATGCAATATGCTATAATAAATATGTATATAAAAGATTTAAACAAATACCTACCACATTCGTTCGATACATGTGTAAATGAAAGACAAAACAAATTTGTAAGTTTTTCAAGACCATATTTTATTCACACAATAATTAATATTAAAGACACACATTTTTAAGACCCGCTATTTTATATTTTGATTTAAAACAAAAATAATTTAAATATATATATGTATATAATGTCGATTTAAACGATACCGGAAAAGAAAACACACAAAAACAATGAAATGACCAATCTTACAAATATTAAATGTTGTAACTACAATAGAATATGACTAATTTCTACTTGTAGCCCCGCATTGTATGGACGTAGTCGATTTCAGAAACAATTCTGTTATGAGCCATTCGACTGAATGTAGAACAATGAATAAAAACCGTTGGTGACCCAAATGTCTCATCTAATTTGTCAAGAAAACTCTGTATCACACCCAACAGTTCGGTATGTGATTTTGTCGTTTTCGGTTCCGTTACAACTAAATAATAAAACATCGGATTAACATTTAGCGTTGATTCAATTTGTCGTATAATCCCTTTGTTACAACCTTTTCTCATAACTTTCAATAACAGTCCGAAATCGTTGTCACCATCTAAAGCGGTTAATTGTACAAATCTCTGTACGACTTCGATAAATTCATTTGCACAACATTTAGGTAAATCCCTAACGTAACTCCACGTCAGACCCAGGAAAATTGTTTTTAATGCTCGTACGACCGTCATTTGATATAATCCTAGGTATTTTATGCCTTTTAAACCGTCTACAAAAGTACCGTCTCTGATATCTTCTATAGTCTTGACTATGCGGCTCCAGGAAGTTGTTGCCACGTAGTCTGAATAATTGTTAAAAAACGAGCGGTGACCGTATCTGTTTTTAAAATATAATACTTCGATGCCGGTAAAAGTATCAAGTCCCCACTTTACCGAGCCTTCTTCTGCGAGACCTTTCATATTAGCTATCTTACCATTTATTAAGAATTTATTCGATTTTACTGTCTCGATTATCGCTGGATTGCCATTGTTTCCGGCCCTCTTTATCATGTCTTTAAATTGTTTATGTTGTTCACAGTTTTCGGACTGCATATTGAAATAGTCATGTTGATTGCACGCGGTTTTCCTGATATCGGTTGCCAAAGTTGATTCTACCAATTCGTACATAGCTAAATTTTCCGTTCTAGACTTAATATTGTCGTAAGAATTTTTCCTAACCGCATCTTTTAAAAACTTGTTTACCTTATGCATGCATATGTAAATGAGCCAAACTGATTCCATTTCCATATTGTTATTGAACATGATGTTGATGGTTTTCACGATTTCGGTTTCAAAGGAAATGTCATCTGTTGGTAAGTCCCTCAGGGTTCTCCAGTCCATCGTGAAATATACGGGTTTAGTATCTACAGTAAACTCGCTTTGAAAATATATGATTTTGGTTAAACACATGTGAAATGTGGCACTGTAAAAAATGTTACATTTGAATTCGGTAAGTTGATTGCTTTCCGGTATCATACTTGGTCCGCCTTTCAAGAAACTTGACAGTTTTGGGACACATTGTGCCATTGTGCAAAAAGAAACGATCAATAATAACTTCATGGTTTTGATAACAGGTAGGTAGTTGGGATTTTCAATTTCGAACTCGCCGGTCGACGCGGATTATTACACTTAGCACGTTCTATACACTTTTAACGATATTTTTCGGTTTGTTAAAAGTACAAAAACAGTACACTGTGTCAACTCTTTGCGGTGTAGTACGTGAAATATTGGCGTAATACGTCAGTAATATATCTTGTTTATATTCCTTGTGTAAATGGTTGTTAGTGACACATGTTTTTCGGTTATGTGTTCTTAGAAATACCTACATTTTAAACTCTACGTGTATTTTTTGGTAAACTAAAAAAAACAGCTTGCATGATAGCCACAGAAACTACAATAACTTTGAAATAATAACAGTGTACGACAAAGACCAAAAAATGTTTCACATAGGTAGGACGTTATGGGTATTTAAATAAGTTTACATAGTTTTGAATGTGTAAAACATTCCTTTTAAACGATTACTATATTTTCATTTATTTAAACAGTGGAAATGAAAACTCACATCGAATCACACAAGTTTTATTCTAAAGTAAAAAAAATCGTGCTTTCGAGTTGGGACACCTAGGCAAAAATTCAATACACAATACCTAAAATATTATTTTTTAATTTTTGTTTACTTTCAAGCACTTGTGCCGATGTGCGAAATTATACAAAAACCTCACTTTTCAACGGTTAAAAAATGTATACATGTATATAAGTTCTCATTAACTTCTTTACTCCCGAATCCTGAAAAAAACCTCAAAAATATATTTGCTCACCCCTCCCCAGATAGAGACAGCTTGTAAACGGATTTGAACCGGATTCTATATGGTTGCATACAATTAGTAAATAGCTAATAAAGCGCTTTGATTCGAATTTCCACTTTGGTAGTTTCCTACTGTGCTGGTTTTTACTGTCCTTGGTTTCCACTGTACTTAGTTTATACAGTATTGGTGTAGACAGAACTTGATTTATACTCTACCAGTTTAAACTGTACGGATTTAGACTGTACTTGGTTTTTTATTTTGTTGTATATATACATTTATAAAAGTGAACTATTTATAGTTGTTAATAACCTGATTAGTTGTATAAAAACTGAATTTTTGAATGGGATATTACATTGAGATTAATCGTGGTATCCTCTATTAGATTGTCCATTGCTTAAAATAATGTCAAAAAATTAGTTGGTATATGTATTATATCTTAGTTTAAAAATTAAGGTCAAGTAGTACAACAGTATGCACAAAAAATACAAATAAAAAAAGGTTTACCTAAAAAAAAACGACCCCTTTAAATACTAACTAAATATAATAGGTATACATTAAATGATGCCAAGTTATTGTAAGCTGATTTTATGAGTTTTGTGAGAGGACATAATACTAACGATTTTAAATTAAATATTTCTAAATGCACGTGTATAACATTTAGCCGTAAGAGACAGCCTGTAATTTTTGTTTACGCAGTAGAGAAGTATTTACTTCAATGGGTTTGTTGATCCATACAATTAATTATACGTTACCATTTAATTTTTAAAAAATGCTACTAAAAAAACGAAAACAATCTGTGAAAAATTGAGATCACATTAAATAAAAACACTATGAAAAAAAAAAGTAATTATCTATAAAACTCAGTGAGTCATTGAGTGAAGCACAGTACAAAAAACGACCTGTATAGTATATGGCACATAAAGAGTATAGAGTAATTGCAATATGCTTAAAAAATCGTTTATATAATAGATTTAAACAAATACCTATACCTCTTTCATTCGACACATGAAAACGAAACAAATTTGTAAATTTTAAAAGAACATATTTTATTCACATCATATTTATTATAACTGTTATTTGGTATTCTGATTTAAAACTATAAATATTAAAATATAACGTCGATTTAAACGACTCCGGTAAAGAAAACACACAAAAACGATAATATAACCAATCTTACAAATAGTAAAATATGTCCTTACTACATGGAATATGGCTAATTTCTACTTGTAGCCAAGAGTCTCATGTTTGAAGTCGATTTTGGAACTAATTCTGTTATGAACCATTTGACTGAATGTAGAACAATGTATAAAAACCGTCGACGGCCCTAATGTCCTATCTAATTGGTCAAGAAATATCTTTGCAACATCCAACAGTTCGGTATGTGATTTTTTCGTTTTCGGCTCGGTTACCGAGTAATTATAGAACATCGTAATAATCCTGAGTTTGGCCTGAATTTCTTGTATTATACTTTTGATACAGCCTTTCTTCATAACTTTCAATAACTGTACAAAATCGCTGTCACCGTCTAAAGCGGTTAGTTGTACAAATCTTTCTACGACTATGACAAATTCATTTGCACAACATGTACCTAAAGCCCTAACGTAACTCCACGTCAGACCAAGAATAATTGTTTTTAATGCTTGCACGACCGACATTTGATATAATCCCAGGTATTTTATACCTTTTAAACCGTCTACAAGAGTACCTCGCCTGACTTCTTCTATTGTCTTGAGTATGCGGTCCCAGAAATCTGTTGATACATATTCTGAATAACCGTTTAAAAACGAGTCGTAACCGTTTATTTTGTTAAAATATAGTACTTCGATGCCGGTAAAAGTATCAAGTCCCCACTTTACCGAGCCTTCTTCTGCGAGACCTTTCATATTATCTATCTTACCATTTATTAAGAATTTATTCGATTTTACTGTCTCGATTATCGCTGGGTTGCCATTGTTCCCGGCCTCCCTTATTATGTCTTTAAATTTTTTAAAATGTTCACAGTTTTCGGACTGCATATTGAAATAGTCATGTTGATTGCACGCGGTTTTCCTGATATCGGTTGCCAAAGTTGATTCTACCAATTCGTACATAGCTAAATTTTCCGTTCTAGACTTAATATTGTCGTAAGAATTTTTCCTAGCCACATCTTTTAAAAATTGGTTTAGCTTATACATGCATATGTAAATGAGCCAAACTGATTCCATTTCCATATTGTTATTGAACATGATATTGATGGTTTTCACAATTTCGGATACAAAGGAAATGTCATCTGTTGGTAAGTCCCTCCGGGTTCTCCAGTCCATCGTGAAATATACGGGTTTAGTATCTACAGTAAACTCGCTTTGAAAATATATGATTTTGGTTAAACACATGTGAAATGTGGCACTGTAAAAAATGTTACATTTGAATTCGGTAAGTTGATTGCTTTCCGGTATCATACTTGGTCCGCCTTTCAAGAAACTTGACAGTTTTGGGACACATTGTGCCATTGTGCAAAAAGAAACGATCAATAATAACTTCATGGTTTTGATAACAGGTAGGTAGTTGGGATTTTCAATTTCGAACTCGCCGGTCTACGCGGATTATTACACTTAGCACGTTCAATACACTTTTAACGGTATTTTTCGGTTTGTTAAAAGTACAAAAACAGTACACTGTGTCAACTCTTTGCGATGTAGTGCAAAATATTGGCGTAATACGTCAGTAATATATCTTGTTTATATTCCTTGTGTAAATAGTTGTTAGTGACACATGTTTTTCGGTTATGTGTTCTTAGAAATACCTACATTTTAAACTCTACGTGTATTTTTTGGTGAACTAAAAAAAACAGCTTGCATGATAGCCATGAAGTATTTTCCAACATCCAAGGCGATTATTTTACACTATTATGTTAAAAGCTGCAATACAACACAATACTGTATTTGCAATATTACAGTATAACACTACAATATTATAAAATAGTTTTTATTAAATGGTTTCTAAATGCGATGTTACATTATACCTGTTTACATGTGATAAGTGGGATATTTTAATATTGGTTTATATATGTCTACACTGGGAGATCATTTTATATTTATAATATAAATGTTTTATATGTTAACTGCAATACATTTCTAAAGAACAACATCTAAAGAAAATATTTTTCCTACTATTATAAAATAGAAAAAAAACCAACATGGATAAGACTAATATGAAATCAAAAAATCATTCGAAGCACGATGACGAAGTAAAAATGTTAAAGGAAGAATCAGCAAAAATATTGCAGTCAGGAAAATTAGGCAGTGCAGCACAGTAAACCAAAATAGTAAAAACATTTAAGGACTGAGTTAATATATTGTACTATGATCAAGTCACAATATAATTAATTGTTTTTGTTTGTGATTTTTTAAATGGATAACAGTTATATACATAAATTCATAATTTTTGTTTGCTCAAACCGCAATATCCAATTTAAATATGTACAAAATTCTTATCTTTTTCAAACCGCTGCGTGTGATAACGGTACAACATTTTGTTATAAATAACAGCCCTTCTCCTAGTACCGACTTCTCGACACCAAGGACAATGTTCTCGCTGGATAGCGGCGCCCGTGATATGTGCTATGGGGTACTATATCTATTTGGATTACAGCCGCGGGAGCGACCCAGACTTCAAAAAAAAGTTGAAAGAAAAACGTCATGACGAAAACAGGTGTCCAAAATGGCCCAGCAAAAGGAATTATTGTATAAGGGGTGCATACTGGCCAGGCAACTGAACAAATCTAATGATGAGGTAAATGTTAAGTTCGTGGACCTTCTGTCCACGATTTTTCATATCCAAATAGAGAGATACAGGTTCCGACGCTAGAAATATTTGGACCAATACTGGAGAAAATGGAGCCCGACCACTTGAAAAAAGCTTGAATGACTTGTAAACCAAAAAAGAAACACGCTGAGAAATGATACAAACCTTACTAGTCAACTTAGATACATAAAAATGTATCCCGTGGTGTTGTGGATTCGTACGCAAGCTGTTGAAATATAATATGTAATACCTGTGTGAAATCCTTTAATAGAACCTTGCAAACATTTTCGATAAAATCTATTTTTTTCAAGTATAAACGTCCTTATAATTATTTTACCAATTTGAGCTCTAGATACGGCTTCTATGGTTAATTATTAGGGGAGAGGTCACTCGACAAGAGGTTTATGTTTTTTGAATATCATAAAGCATTGCAATGAACGATATGATGATTTCACGAAACGAGACATTTGTATTTAAAAAAACTAATAATAATAGTTTGGTTTGCGTATACGACACCTTTTGTTTTTCATTGTTAGCACAATCTATCAACTGGCAGGTTGTAAAGGTTAGATCCCGATATCATGGAGTAATTATATTTTTCTATTACAATTGCAATGCTGATAATCTCCATACCGCCGGGGTCGTGTTTTAGTGTACTAATTTGACTTTAACAACTTGAATTTGAACACTTTTTTATTGCAATATGTAAAATTGTTGAACTTAGAAGCATTATTCTGTTAACTAATATCATTATTACAATCGACCTTCCTGGCCCTTTTCCAGTGCTTAATACTATTAACAGTAGTCAGTGCAGAATTGGAAAACAAATTTTTACTTTAACTCCCGTTTAAGTAAAAGTTAATTTGTCGAATAGCTTACACGTGTATATTATGTATATTGCGTGAAATCGGTTGCATGTTTTTCAACATACACCACCGAATGTGTCCAACGCTTATTTCGTATATTCTAAAGTAAGCTAATTATAAGTAAGTAAGCTTAATTAACATTCCTGACCAATGACTGCCCGCTTTTGCGGTTTTATTTTCTATTCATATTACCAAAGATGTGGATTTATATTTATGTTATTTCTTACCCACCTTTACATAAGATTTTTTTTTTGTAAGAAAAATGCTTATCGACCGCCATATATGTATGATGTATCAATTATAAAATTCAAATAAATATGCTTTAGCATGATGGTTAATAGTGTTCAAATTTTAACTAGAATTAAATTTTTTTTTTTTTGTAGATTAGTATGCTTCAATGTACTACCAAAATAGGTACAAATGCTAGACAAAGAATATTATCGAGCATCTGACTTATCAAAACCGCTTGGTGAAACTAACACTAATCGTGTTAGAAACGAACAAACAAAAGCTTAAATTTCAGGTCGTTAAAGAAAGTTTTAAGATATAAAATAATGTTTAAGAAAGTTTTTCAAAGGGTACTTGAATAAAATGTCTTAGTTGTAAAAACACGACCACGCGTTGTAGAATACACTATTTAAAGCTCATTTTGAATAATGAAATGGTTTTTCATTTTTACAACAATATTTCACTTATATTCAATACAAATCGTTTGTATTTAATAATTATTTGAATTTTGATCGTAATATGTTTTAAAACAAAAGTTTTACGACGTATTTAAATCCCTCGAAATTTAAGAAATTGGGAATTTTATAATAAATAACAGAAATTGATGGACCGATATTGGTGTAGGCCGCTTTATGTTTAAAGGGCTTAATTATGATCATATACTAAATTAAACTGAATAAATTATTATGGAACGAAATGAAAATCTAACCTCATTACAACCGGTTGAATCTGCACTCCAAAGTCAAGGTCAACTGCTAGATGACATCTTCTATAGGCCGTTGTATATGAACGTATAATAATTATAATAATTGCAATTAATGGTAATAGTACAGTATCATGTACCATATAAATTATAGTATCCACACGATAGTGATTTATGGTATTTACGTCGAAATTAAAATATTACATCGTATTCATTTTACAATAGTTAAAAAAAAAATAATAATCGACATTTTGTTTAGTATTATAATAGAAAGATACCTTGCGTGAACGTACACAATGTACTACACAACGATTACTTAAGTAACAAAATTATACCATATAGCATAATACCATAGCCACAATAAAATACCTACATCACAAATATTATGGAATATTTAGAAAAAATAATAATTTTTTTTTTATTTATATATTTCAGGCTGAAAGTTAAGTGTGGCTCGAAATAAAATTGTCTGAAGAAGACCTCGAAAGAACCGAAGAAAAGCATCGAATCATGGAAGTGTTATAGCATTACGGGTCCGTATAACCATAACGATTTTGTTTGTACAATTATTATACATTGCAAATTGACGACCGCGCCATTGTCGCACTTCCAAAGTACCAGGGTCCTATGTTAAGACGTTTGCTATGCATCGCTCAGCGGCTGTAGCGGATGATAGTTTTATATAGGAGGAAATAAATAATTACATAAAAAACATATCCATGTTAATATTGTATAATATAAACCATTACGTTATAATAAAGATTCAAATGAGTTTTCTGGGTTTCGAGCTTTATGCAAGTGTCTTAAAAAAATGATCCCGACGTCGTCTACATTGAACGCGTCAACACCGACGGCACCATCAATTAAAATATACAACTGCCGTTCAAAACCGTCGTTTGACTTGATTGATTTAGTATTATTACCATATTTTACTAAACCATTCGACCAAAATAATTAAGCCTTATTAAACTATTTTTGTGACTTTTTAAATGGATAACAGTGATCGAAACTAGAAAGGATTGCCGATGGTGTTACTGAGACGGCAGAAATTTGGAAAACGGCGCGGTGACGGTTGGAAAAGCATTTATCGACCAATTCCAATACAAGTATGTTATATTAATGGTATTTAAATAATAAATGTTGGTAAGTTTTTAAGGAAATCTATTAGCGTAAGCGTTTAAGTGGCCTTGGGACACTCTAAAAACGGTGACAGTTTTTAAAGTGAACTGCCTCATAACGATTTTAATGCTCGCTTCAGAGTTGTATAGTTCAAGTAATAAAGTATTCTTAAGATGAAACAAAGTAAAAAATAGTGCAATATTGCAGTCAGGAAAATTAGGCAGTGCAGCACAGTAAACCAAAATAGTAAAAACATTTAAGGACTGAGTTAATATATGATATGAAAAAACTACGTACAATTATTATACTATGAACAAGTCACAATTGATTGTTTTTTTTTTGTGATTTTTTAAATGGATAACAGTTATATATATATAAATTTATAATTTTTGTTTGCTCAAACCGAAATATCCAATTATAATTTATACAAAACAATTATCTTTTTCAAACCGCTGTGTGTGATAACGGTACAACATTTTGTTATACATAATAGCCCTTATCCTAGTACCGACTTCTCGACGCCAAGGACAGCGCTTAAATGGGCAATGACCTCGCTGGATAGCGGCGCCCGTGATAACGATCTATGCTATAGGGTACTGTGTCTATTTTGACTACACAAGCAGGAGCGACCCAGACTTCAAAAAACAAAGGACACAGGTGTTAGCCCAGCAAAAGGAATTATTGTATAAGGGGTGCATACTGGCCAGGCAACTGAACAAACCTAATGATGAGGTAAATGTTAAGTTCGTGGACCTTCTGTCCACGATTTTTGCATATCCTAAGAGAGAAATACAGGTTCCGACGCTAGAAATATTTGGACCAATACTGGAGAAAATGGAGCCCGACCACTTGAAAAAAGCTTGAATGACTTGTAAACCAAAAAAGAAACATGCTGAGAGCTGATACAAACCTTCTAGTCAACTTAGATACATAAAAATGTATCCCGTGGTGTTGTGGATTCGTACGCAAGCTGTTGAAATATAATATGTAATACCTGTGTGAAATCCTTTAATAGAGCCTTGCAAACATTTTCGATAGACGTTAAAAATATATATAGTGTCACAGGGCATCTGTTTATTTACATATGCAGGCCAGTATGTTTGATTGTCTGAGGATATAAAGGAAAGCCTGTTTTGTAAAATTGAGTTATGAAGTAACCCGCTTAGCATGTTAATGCATCGAATATGCTTTTGAATATGCTTGGTATTAAAGTCACCTTCTATTCATAAAAAGCTACGAAGAGTTTAAAAATAAGTAGCTTTTTTTCCCCAATAATTTGTTGGCTTGGAGAAAGACTGCGATATAGATACAATGATTAATGATTTGGATGGTGGGGCACAAGAAAGAATGCTTTAGCAAACGGATTGTACTCGGACTTTGAGTGAACCAACACCTCTTGATAAACATTAGAGGAAAAACAATGAACAAGATTGTAATTCTTACAAACAAGCAAATTTAAAAACTAAATGGTACCAATGGCTGGGCAATTAAATTTATCCATAAAGTAATCCATCCGTTTACAAAAGAGACATGCTCATATAATAAACATGTTTAAGGGTTTTATTATTGTGTGGTGTTTACTCACGTGTAATCGACGATTCATGTCCAGTGCTTATATCATTGTTCCACAAGTCTGTAATTTTAAACTGAACACAAGCGATCCAAAAGTTAGATGTTTTATAAAATATCAGTGTTCGTTATACAATTTTTGCACAGACTGTTATAATAGTTGGTTTCGAGTAAATCAAAATACACAGCTATTAGTAACTGTAAAATATATGCAGCCAGTAAATAGAAAAATAACAACGTGCACAGGATTGCAAATAGCTCGCTCTGGTGGACAATAAGTATAGTTAAGGGCTCGTGTAAGGGAATTGCTTTTAAATACCATTACAGTTTTAAAAAGAATAGTTATATCCATTATTTGTATAGCAAACGTCTTGTTTAGAATAAAAAAAACTACATTAATTTTTAAAATTACAACTAAATGAATTATACGTTTCCAATGCTTCTTTATGAGAGGATTAGCTTGAGCTGTTATCCATTGCAGCGCTCAATATAATGTTCATGTAAGCTATCAATGCATTATGTAGTTAACCTTTACAAAACACTAAAGTTGGCTATAAAATATCGTCTGTTATTATTTAGAAACCCTATTTTTTACATCAGTAAAACTATAATATCATTATAAAGTACATCCTAATATTATACTGTAAAATTGATTAACTTCATCAGCAACCGAAACCATAATTATTTCAAATAATAATGATTCGGACAACATAATAAATCTCACAACATCAGTAAGTTTATTTGTGTATTATTGTGTAAGTAACAAAAAAAAGTGTAATTAAATACACTAAAAGGAATGTAAGCATAAGAATGACGACTGTGACACACATCAGGTAAGAAGTTGTCAGGAATAAAATTTTCTGGATCCTTATAGTATTTTGGATTTAAATGCAAACAATGAATAGAAATCATAATATTTGTGTCTATAAAATAATAATATTCGATAACTATTAATTTAACAATGAAAAAACAAATAAAAATTTTACTTATACTGTTCTACCTGCTGGGATTTCATATTTTCCAATCATCATTTCGTTTTCCAGCTTCCTAACAATTGTTGGTACAGGTGGATAAAGTCGCATGGTTTCTTTAATCACGCGTTCTAAGTATTGCATTTTCGGTAAATCATCGGGGGTAGGCGGTCGGTTAAAATCGCCAGCCGAAAATATTGAATTTATTTCTCGAAAAACCTAATTAAAAAAAAAAAAAATATCAATAAATTTAATTATTTTAATTTTCATACAATATAAAATACATTTAATTAATGTTTATTTAACAGAATTTTGGAAATAGTGTTTCTTTATTTTTATTTATTTTGGGGGGCATTTTTGACTTTAAACAGAATGAGGTGAATTGTTTCCTTATTTGTCATTATAATTATATTTTTAGAACAACATAGTATGATGTACCGTCTTGTTATATGAACATATTAACAGAAACATAATAATAAAATATAATACATCATTGAAATAGAAATATTTTTAACTCCACAAATAAGCTAGAAAAAAAACTTAAAGCTTAATTATCACTACTATGAAATTTATATATTTATATATTTATATTTATATATATATATATATATATATATATATATATATAGCTTACCACTCATAACGGTTAGAAGTTCGTCACTCATTTCTTTATGCGACATTTGATGTTTATTTGCTAATAGAATTTCAACTAGAGATTAAGGTTTTTGAGAAATACAATCTGCGACATAACTCCCGTTAATTGTAGATTTATCCTTTTTGTTAAGTTCGACTTGTTTTTTCTGAATTAAATTATTTACAAATTTATGCATTATTTGTTGACTATTTCGTTGTTCATGTTTTTTTTTGATGACAGTGAAAATAAACTCGAAAATAAGAACCACGGATTCGAAAGTCGGTATGCAAAGATCTGTAAAAAATAAAAAAAATAATCTTCTTAGCGGATATTTAATCATATCGTTGGTAGACTATAATAATATCCTCTCCGTCTCACGAGATCTAATTATGTTGCTACAAAAATATAAATTAAAAACAAAACATTTTTTACTTCTGCTAGACGTTCATAGTTATTCCGGAAATCATGGTTTTCTTTATTTTGTGAATGAAATTCTTCTCCCATCGCTGTTCTTCCAATAGTGTCCATCGATGCTAGTTCGAAAATTCGGCTTATTTCTAGTTCAAATGGTTTTCTTTTACTCTTTTCACTCAAAATGTGTTCAAGAATTTTAGATTCTTCGTAAAAAGATGGTATCAATGATTTTAAATTTGAATACTTAAGCCATTCATTTATTATTTTCCTAAATAACGTACGTTTTATTAATTATTCATCTCATTTAAATAGAAACAGTTTGTTTCATTAGTTTTGTACATAATATTTATAATCATAATATTTATTATATATATAACAATATTTTACCGGTGTTTTTTATACTTATGTATACTGTTAGTTGTGATTAGCCCCTTCATCGACATAACATCTTGCAATAACGGATAAGGTATGTCCTTTTGAAAACAATTTAAACTATTCATTGCTTCTCCTATATCTTCGGCAATGGATATACAAACAACCAGCTTGTTAAAAAACCAAAATTTAAATAAAGAATTCTGGTACCTTAAACATAATGAGCTCGTTTTAAAATGTGTGCATAAATACTTATATATTACATATAAAAATAATTAACACAATAGTCGTAGTCAAGGATTCCTGCATTTGATATAATTTGAATAGTTTTTACCTTAACGTTCTGGAACATGTATTTATTTCTCATTTATTTTTCGTTAATGTGCCACATAAAATGCGCCACAGTAAAAAGCTAAATGGATCATCAAATTTCGTTGAAAAGTTCTTATATTAAATTTAAAATTTCTTTTTTATATTCATTAATGAGTTGGTTTTAACTATGTTACCATTAAAGCTCAAATACTTAAATCACATTAAATCCATGAAAACTAATTCGACTTGATGGATAATAGTTAAAATTGTTAATTATCCCGAAATTATTTTTGTTTTGGCTTTACATTATTCCACTAAATATATGCAGGTAAATTAAAACTATTTACTCCTTGCATAATTATTATAAGCTAGTTTTGCTTGATTGTCTTTATAGTATTTGACAAATTAGATTTCACACGTATCAATTGTTCATTAACTTAAAAAATTTTTATCGGTAATATAAACTCACTATACCCCAAAACTTTACATGATTGTTCACGATTACTTACTTCTTGCATAATAGTTTTGTTGTCTCTAAGAAATATTCTGGCCCTCGAGTTAAGATCGTTGGAGTTCCAACAATAAAATGACCTTTCAGACCAGGTATTTGAGCAGCCAAAGTAATTTGTCTTCGTTTTTTTATCCTTATAAAAATTACTATCGATGTAACTAACACAAGTGTAACGGATTGAAAATAACTCATATAGTATATCTGAAAATGAAGCAAAATATAAATTGGAAATCGTTAGTACCTAATATTATTTGCTTCGAATCAATTAGTATAGGACACAAATCATGATTATATTAGCTTTTAGTAATATTGTTTCTCTATTTACAATGATAAAATATCTATTTAGTCCTGGTATCTTATTAGCCAAAGCAACTTGTCTTTGGTTTTTTTCATTAAAAACTTACTATCGATATAACTAACATAAGAGTACGTGTAATGGATTGAAATATAACTCATATGGAGGTTCCGACTTGGTTATAAAAGTTAATGCCACGCATGACGCAACTACTTAAGGTAAGATTTTGGATTTAAGCGTTTATGGTGCATTAAATAACACCTACTAACATCCAAAATTTGATAAAATCAATAACTTTTCTAAATATATTTCAATATTATGTATTTAAGAAAGTGACCTAGGGCATGATATGATTCTTATATTTTCAAAATTTTGAATAATAGATTGAGTTCGTCGAGTATTGCTTAAAGGGAATAATAATCTTTTTACTCGTTTTAAGTTTAAACTTTAATATTTAAGTCATATTAATAATATAATAATTGAGGTAATGAAATACTGTAAAAAAATATGGATTTTAATTAATAACAGACTATATTTAATAACAATTTTAGTGTTCTGTAAAGGTACTAAAACATTTAAATGTATATAATTTTGGTAGTAAAACTTACTTGCTGAAATAGAATAATTATGTTTCCGGTTGTTGATGAAATTCTATAGTCATAGAGTAAGTAATTTTTAATGATATTAATGTTTCACTGTTGAAAGTTTTAAACACAATAGTAAATTTCTGAAATTTTGTTTCCTTATAAAAGGTTTTTTTTTTAATTTGAATTAATGAAAAATTACTTAACTTATTAAAAATTAATTAGCCTTATTTTACAGCCTACCTTATTATTTTACGCTTCGAATGTTTCACATAGTTTTTAAAATATAGGTAAATAATGAGCAAAATACACTATTCATAATATATAAATATAATTTTAATTTATTGACATTCACGTTTACATTAGTGTTACAATAATAATTTTCACATAACATTTACATACATTAATTTTTTTGACATAATTTATTTGAAAAATTCTATTTATTAGTGGCGTGAATTCAAATATTTTATAGTGAGGGATTTAAATGACTTATATTAAAGAACTTTAAATGTCTCATACTAAAACTTATCCACGACCATATATTAAGAAATAGTTATATTAAAACATTTTTTTTTGAATTCATAAAAATTGCAAACGTCTGTTTTTATTAAATAGTTCAATAATCACTTCGTCTGGTAATATCGATTAATGGTTGCATAGCTAAACTATTAAGTAAAAAAAATATATATATTTATTTAAACTTATATTTTATACAGAATCGATGAATTTATTAACACACAAACACATTCAGCTATTGTAGACAGAATAAAATATATAATATTTTTATTATTTTTTATATTACAAATGCATATATTCACTTAAATTATATTTAATATTATTCATTTAATTTTGATAAAAAAAGTTTCAATTAACCTTGGAGTATAGTTTAATTACTATCGATGTAATTAACACAAGTGTCAGTATAATGGATTGAAAATAACTCATATTATTATAAAGCTGCAATTTAAGAAAATATAAATTGGAAACATTTAACCTACAATGTTATATGGTTCAAATCAATCTAAATAGAATACAGGGTGATTCTATTATCATGAACTAGTCAATATCTCACTGGGTTTAGTTAATAATTGAATTTTTTTTTTGTTATATAATGTTTTTATTCCACTCCCAACGTTTTTTTTGATAGCAACTTTCGAAACTTAAATGGTAACGTATACGTTTTATTAACTTTTTAAATTGAAAATAATGTACTAAAAATGTTGAATGGTCGATGACCAGTTTCGGATAACCATTATTGAATTATTGCACTGGTCGATAATTAGCTTAGAGTTAATAATTTTTTTAGTTATTTTAATGTTAAAATTTCGAATGAGAATGGTGGTGTTTTGTTGAGTATTGCTTACAAATAGTAATAATACTAAATTCTTTTTTCTATCCGTCCTAAGTTTAAACTTTAATACTATTGATGATATAAAATGTGTGGCAATAAAACACATAAGTCGTAAAGTTCTACCGAGCTTCAAATGAGACATTCAGGATGCTCTATACGTACAATAAATGGTATTTTTTTTTTTTTTAATTTTAAAATTATTTAAAATAGAACTCGTATCTCATTAAAAAATCGTCTTACGAAAAAAATTATGTCAGATTTGAAATTGGGAGAACAAATCTGTTCCTCCAGCTGTGTAAGATTTGTTCGTCCCCTTTCCCTTTGTATAGAAGAATGGTGCGCCCTGTTCGGAAAGCTAACGGGACATAATTCCATTGTAACATCACTTTTCCGATAGCCCATATAGCATTACTACATTTTACATTTCGTATTGTACGAAGAACAATTCCGTCAGGGCCTGGGGATGTGTCTATAGATATCTTTTTGATTGAAAGCTCAATGTCATCTTTTGTTAGTAGAAATGCCCCGTCAGTATCTGTGTTGGGTTCGATGGTATTGTTTGGTTCTTGTTATTATTATTATTATTTTGTTATTACTTGTTGTCAAACTACCGACAATAGTCTAATAACGAATAAAAATAATGGGTTAAGCGGTAACTGTGTAAAATATCAATAATTACAAAATGCGCCTCTTATTAGCTGCGTTTATAAAATTGTCAACAACTCATTAGCAAATCAATATTTTCGAAATTAAACTTCGAAACATTTTAATTTAGACAATTTTGATTATATTTATTTAAAAAAAAGTAGTGGTTGCCATTTGAAAATCAAAAGTTGGTGTCTAGTTTTCGAGGAAGGGGGGGGATACAAAAAAAAGTCTTATATAATAAGTTAGTATTTTATACACAAACAAATAATTAAATATTTTTTTTTGAACAAATCTAAGAAGTTTTTGAGTAAACTAGTGTAGGGCGTTAAAAAAATCACCCTAAATTAAATCTAAAAATAAAATATATTAAACAACTTACACACTGTGTTTGGTTTGTTTATTTTATTTTTATGTTATGATTGGTTTTATGAATTGTGCTACAAAATATTATTTTCAATCACCATTCACGTCTCATACTCGGTACACACCGCAGTTCAGAGATATAAAATAAAAAGTGATAAAAATGTCCAAAAATCATCTCTTCCCTAAATTCTACTAACAGAGGAAATGCTTACATTAAATAACTTTAGGTTATTTAAGAGATCTCACATGCATAAAAACTATGTTGACGATTCAGAATATAAAAAAAAATTAAAAAAATTACAATAAGGGACAAATTACGAAAGCGAGTTGCCGGGTTCAACAATTTAGTGAAAGACTTGACTCACACAAACTGTTCCAAAAAACTGATAATTGGTGGCCAAAGACTATAAGGGAATCTTAACAGTGGCTGGACTTCAAGAAGCTGCGAAAATAACGATAGATAAAAATATTAATGAACAAGAACAAACATTACCTTCTAGGTACAAACACTATCGTTTCAAGCCTTGCTGAAATGCCATATTTAAAAATTTTCTTTGGAACATTTACAGTATTATCAATTTTTTTATTCTTCTTATTTATGTTCTTATTTTGTTATTTATTTATTTTTGTTATTTATTTATATTCAATAATAAAATTTACCGATTTTACTAACTAATATGAATGTGGTTACGAAGTAATTTTTATAGTGTGTTTTCTTACTATTTTTCCTAACCAAATGGTTCGATATTAGCATTTATCCAGCTTGAAGACGTCGTTAAAATCCTCTTCGTGTCTATTGGGCGGATTTCAATTTTTATTTTTATTAGAATAAGCTTAGATAAGTTAGATTTACTAGAAAGAAACCATAAAAAGTAAAAATGTAAACGTTAATAATACAATTTCAAAAACAGAAATAAAAAAATCGGCCCTTTAGACACTATAAAAAAATATGTAAGCTATATAACAATAAAAATATTTTTGAAATTGATTCGTTAGAGACACTTCGGACAACAAAATGAAAGCGTTAAATAAGCATCGGTTATTAATATCGGTTAAATTTTGTTTTGCGTTGCAAGAAAATTAAAATTTAAAACAACAAAATTAAAAAACAATTGGTTCTGTCGGACAAGTTTGAATCATACTATTTTTTTTTAAATTGTATATTTGAAAACACTTTTTTTTATGTTATTTTACAATATATATTTAGCAGAGCTCATGTTTAATTTTTTTATCTTTCTAAATTAAAACGCATTCGTAATTCTATAGGATCGACCCACCGACTATGCCGTCAGTCAATCACACTCACCTTCTGACGTTATAAAAAAAAACAATAAAAAAAGGGACAAGAGCCAATTATTCTTTATGAACTTGGAGTCAGGACGTAGAAGACTTTCTGCATACATGTATCTAGTCATAAATTATATCTTAACTACAGATATAAAAATTGTTTTGTTTTCTCCTATTCTCATTATGTGGCCTACCAACTACTAGATAAAGATATTTTATTTTATTAGCGTGTACCGGACAATATGTCTTTCAACATCTCTGACAGAGTACTACACTACCCGCTTTCTTTAGATTTTTTTCGGTTATAGTAAGCCTCTTTCTTGGTTGCCAAATTGAAAAATTTGCACCATTTTTAATACAAGATTTCGATATTTATCTTTATTGTTATAGGACTGTCAATCGGTAATTTCACAATTACTGTCACAACACCTTTGTATCTAAAATTCCCTCCAAGCAATTTCACTGTATTTATCTCGTTTGGGATATCTTATTTGACATTTTTTAGTTTTTTTTTATCAGCAATATGTTACAAATCAAAGTATTAAATATGTTGGAGGTGTAATAAGAGGTGGAACTAATAGTTGGTTCGCATGCGAAATAATCGTGGGAAAATTAGAAAGATCCAGGCAACAGATAAATTATTTCTCTAAGAATATAAATTTAAAAAAATGTTAAGATGATTTGAAATGATTTGAACATTATCATTATGAATACGGACTAAAAGCAGAAAAGGAGATGTGAAAAAAAAACACTCTATTGTATCAAAAACTCATTCATTTGGAAATTCTTTAAATGTTATCCAAGAAATGAACGTTATTACAGAACACTATTACAGATTCTAAATGTATGCTATGTTTATTTTATTTAATATTCTTATTACATCATTGTTCTTGTGCTCTTGAATTAAATCATTTGATTCATTAGCATTCTGTCAAATTCATTCGGGAAAATATTTTTGGGCAGGTGGCATTCGGGTAAATGTCGTTTGATGACTAGCTTCGGGCAAGTGTCCGCCAATCTTAGTTAATTTTGTTTCAATAATATCTTTGTTGGTTATTTTACAATATCGTGTAAAATTATTATTATTACAACATTTTACACGATATTAATTGTAATCGTAAACTAAACTAGACTCAATTAGTAGTATTGTCTTTTAATAGTATAATTAAAATAAAATCTTACCTCGTTAAAATTGATTGACCCATGGTTTAATTTGTATTACACAAAGGTTAACTGCAAGGCAACATCGATCGGCTACAATATGCAAACCTATAAAAACTATTAGGTTAATAGTATAAATAATACTAATAATAGATGTACCCATTCATCAGCCAAAGTCTACAATTACATCACGTTTTCAGTTGTTCATTCTTCTTTAGGCTTCACCATTAGAATTGAGTCACATAATTTAACGTATGTTTCATCAAGTGATCCAATAGTTTAAAAATATGTATTATTTTTACATTTTAACAAAGAAACTTAAATAAACAATGTACCTACTACAATAACAAATAATTACTTGGGTTGTAAATGTTTTATTTTACAGAACTATAGCGTCATAGCAACAATAAGAAATAACACATAAATGTTATCTCAAATGAAATTTGTTTTAATATATGACGTATGTATTTGAAATATATTTCATAACGTTAAACTCTAATGAATTTATTAACATTTTAAGGATTTTTTTTATAGGTTTTTAAAGTGTTAAATAGTTCGATAAAAATGTTCAACCTGGCATAGCATAACCCCAACCAACCGCCTATAGACAAGATAAAACAAATAGAAATTAAAACAATTTTTTTAAAAAAAAGTTGAGAGTAGCTTAGTTACGAACTCTTAGGAAATATTTTTAACTGTTATTCCAAATATTACTGTAAATAAAATTGAAACTGAAATAGTTTTTTGAAAATACTTAAAACATCACTATTTCGAAGTTGAGGAAAGGAGTTCATTTTAAGATGGTTTTCTTGTATTTACAGAGTGAGCTTTAAGCTTTTCAGACTATAACCCATTGGTTCACATTATTTCTTATTACTAGGCTACACTAGTTTTCCGGGCTTACTATATGAAGCCATTGACCCATTGATAAGTATCTCGATATATACTAAAGATAAACTACTAAAGTTCAACAGGGCATTGGCAGAGATTGGAACGTGATTTTCATTATCTGACCACAGAAGTATCCACTGCTTATTATTATTATGAAAGGTACGACCTTACTTAATAGACCTTAATTTAAAGTCTAAATATCTTTTGTATACCGAATTGTCTGTTTAAAAATGTTATATTATGTTGTATATTGTTTCTTTGTCACCCTTTTACCATTTACCATGGCCTTTATATTAAAAATGTTATATTATATTGTATATTTATCATGTATAGCCATATAGATGGCTATACATGAGATGGCACCTTTGTAAAATGTTTTATATAGTTTGTATGATGTTGTATTCTCGAAGGTTTTTAATATTTCAAGGTTTATTGTGCATTCTAACCACATGCGAATATTAAGTAATTTATTTATTCGCTATAACTATCATTAACCCAAGACGGGCTCTTACCTCTTTTTAGCTCCTTTTGTTCGTAAATGTGATATAAAATGATGAGTAACGGTCCTATACAAAAGTGTCATTAGTTCTAAGTGTAATTTTTTTGAGTGGTCATATTGTATAGGTCATCTGTTGTTTTCATTAAATATACAATTTTCTTAACAATTCTACGGTTATTTTTTATTTTTCATTGAGTTACCGGAAGTTAATGGTAAATTTTAGTTAAACAACGCTGCAACAACCGGCGGCCCAGACGGTCCATTGCAAATGGCAGTGCGCTCTGCGTGAACATCCGGTCATGACCACCGGTACAATTTCTTGGATTCCAGTCTGATGATTCTCCAAGCTGCTCTTGCAAACCGGATATTGGTCGAATGCGTTTTTCAACCGAATCCGTGTAATCGATAGACATATAATATGTCTTAATAATACATTGTATCGCGCAGACTTTTTAAATTCTTAAAAAAAAATTATACTGTATTTCCTTTCTTAGTATACTTCAAGACAACAGTTCTTCATTTGGTCGTATCGAAAAAGTCTAAAATAGTTAAAAAAAAATTAAAACGCTAATTTTTGTAAAAATTCACTACTTAATAAATATAACTTTTATCATCTGAAGAGAGAAACTAAAACAATTTCCAAATAACTAATTCCAAATAATCAATATTGACTTAGTTGCCTACCACATTATTTACACATAAATGTCATAGTAACGACAACAATAAATCAACGAATCAAAAATCCTACTGTGAACTTTATTTTTATTTGGTGGTTTTGTAATCTGTAGGCTATTATTAGTAATTATCTTGTGTTTAATTGTTTAAAATATGTTCCATATTGACTATTTTAGTGTTTACGATTGACATTGTTTAGTTGGGTTTTTTTAGTCATTAGTTTAAATTTGTACTCCTAAAACCTTATTATTTTATCATACATGTTGAGTAGTAATATTTCACTACAAAATATATAAGAAAAGTACTTTGTCATATAAAAAAATGCATTGATCAAATTTTAAGTGGCGTTGTGTCATTTACACCGCATGACAATATTTTTTTTTAATTGCGTTTTTGTAGGTTTATATTGATACTGCAATTGTTATACTTAAAGTCCGAATTCTTACTTAATAAATGGTTTTCTATACATTTATAATAAGTTATACTTCAACTAGCATTTCGACTTAGCGGTAAAATTGATTAGATTACCATAGGGGTTTGCATTGCTTATAATCACCATTTAGAGAAACCTTTATTTTCTTTTATTTCTTAATATTCATTACCTAGTTTGTAATTTGTTAAACGTTAATAGGGCCTTGATTAATTTAAACGTCTTAAAGGTAATTTATCTAGATTGCTCGAAAAATTGTCACTGTAGTTTGTGATTTTGAAACCAGACTACTAACTAATGTTTACAGTTGAATTTTGTTTACCTAAATTGTGTATTTATATTCTATAGTTAAGACTTAACACTTCATACAACATCTAATAAGATAGTTAGCTGTCTTTCATTGAAAAAATTGTGTTATTATGAATGTATTTGATATGTTTTATAGACGAGGACCTTCTAAGGTAACCAATCAGTTAAAATTTCTGACGGAATTGACGTAACCGTTAATAGAAGAATTATTACAGTCTAAGGACCTATGTATCTTTTGAAAGATTTGTATCTATCGAAAGACCTCGCGAAACATTTAACAGTTTTAAAAATCATTAAAGGATAGTCAGATTATTGCCAAATGTATAAATGCTATTAGTTAAACCGTTTTATAGGGAAAATTTATATTATGATAATATATCTATTAAAACTGTAGTAAGGTGTCAAAACACATAATAACCTTTGTGAGTACTCGGCTCACTTTTTTTTTAAGCCCAGCAAACTGGTTTATATTGTAGTAAACCTAAAATATTTGTATTTTTTAAATTCTACAAATCAACAAAGATAAGGTAGGTATATGAATTTTGTGAGTAAAAAATCTATATAAATTACATTCTTCTATCAATAATACTTGAGGTATAATATACGATATGATTTTTTTTTTTTAACCTTAAGACTCATGCTTGGCCACTGGAATCAATCCTGATATATTATAATATGAATTCAATTAAATCTATCAAAGTTTAGTACAAAAAGTAGCATATAGTCCATGGTGTATTTAAAACATAATTAATGAGCATGGATACAATCGCACTAATTAGTTTTTATAATACGCTCTAAGGTCCTATTATGATGATCTAGAAGAATTTGATGAAAATAATAATTTAAAATTAAACAACATATGTATTTAGTCACGTTTCTATATATTTTTTGTAATCATAACAAATCAATTAAAATAATATTAAAAAACAAAAAATGGTCACCGTAGTTAACATAATACTAAAAGTGACCGAACTTAAATACTTTTGAATATTACGTTCACGAATTAAGTGTTGGGGTAAAATTGTGCTTGAATATGGAATGTTGTGCTAGCGTGACTTTTTGATTTCTTGTGCATACTGGCTCAGGCCATTATCCTCTACGACTGGATCGCCTAGAAGATCTATTACGATGGATTTCCACTTCATCGATTCTAAAATGATCGTTTGTACTGCGGCTGTTAAAGCTAAAAAGAAAAACTGTAATATTAACGTTGGTAAAATGTAAAATATTTATATTATATTATGTCTCCAAAGTATTCATTACCAAAACAAGTCATTACAGAAACAATTGTGCACATAGTATACCTGTCAATACAATATGTTTTGTTAACATCTGTGGTGATTTAATAGAAAATAATTTGTTGTCGTTAAAAACAGCTCATTTTAAGGAGATTAAAAGTATTCTGTATTTTATGTTTAGACCAAAAAAAAACTTGTTCAAATGTTAACTTCTTGGATTAGATTTTGATTCTGTAAAGTCATTCGAGATCTTTGTCTACCTTACTAGGATATGTTGGTAATAGTGAACGCCTTACTTTTGTATAGTTTCGATCAATGATTGGACGCAGGCCTCTGCCATCTCAGCACGATCGCCAGTAAATTCGTTGGACTTCAACCGTACGTTTATTTGGAAACGATCTCTGCCGATTTTTTCAATCATAATCGCTTCAATATGCTCCATTCTGTTATAAGGCCCCAAAAAAAAAAATACATTTTTTATACTGTAATGGGTTTGGGCAAATCTAAATATCTATGGGTAATCATTTTTAGACTTTTGCTCAATGTCTCTCTGTCTAACAAACACCAATGTCTATCAATTATCAGGAGTACATTTTTCTGTAATTATTTTACACGAATATCGAACGACTTCAAACTAAGTTGAAATGTAAGTTAATCCACCATAAATATCGAGAGTTTACCTATTTTAACCAAATCTCAATAATATTTCAAGACAGCTAAAACTTCTGATTGGGATTCTAATATTTATATGGAATAACCATCATGTACCTTGATTGAATTGAACAAAAATATATCACAAATAACGAAAAAAAAATGTATATACAAGCTTTTATTTTATTTTATGAATAACATTATGAGAGTGCAGATAGTTCATATTTTAATATAAAAAACCTAAGTAGCTTCATACATGGTACGTTAGTGGTAGCCGGTCAAATGAGCTGAACATGAAAATGTTAGAAATTATATAAATTATATTTATAATTATGTTTTTCTAATAGAAAACTATAGATAATTTTGTTTCCTAAAACCCGTTTATTATTATCCTTAAAATATTGTAACTGTAAGATTTTGAAATTACTCGTTTAGCACCCTTTTTTAGATCTGGAATCGTATGCGATTGGTAGTAGTTTAGTGGGTCTAAATTTGAAGAAGTAAATTTCTTCAGCCCAGAAACCGGCAAAACCCCGTTTGTAGATCTATAGTCTTAGGTATAGATTTCAGTTGCTCTTTAATGTTACAGATTAAAACATTTTCTAGTAGGCACTTTCTACTTTCAATTAATATATTTTAAAAATTGATGTATTTTCTTGTGATGAGATATTTATTTTCTTTATTTTATTTATGTTTATTTATTTATAAACTATAAATATAAGACATATGATCTAAAATAAAGAATAGCCCAGTAAAATATATAAGCAAACACGTTGTGAATACAACATAATATCCATGTTAAAATACACAATAACTGATAGGTTAGATTAGGTAAGCGTGATGTGCTCACGGTTTTAGCCCCGACCGCGAAGGAAACTTTTTGCATTTTTTCCCACCTTTTTTTATATTATTTTTTAAAGCAACTACAGTTTGACCGCGTCCTGGACGCATTTCTTTTGCAGCGAGTTGCTCATCAACAATGCCTATATATTATTTATATATATATATATATTATATTAGTAACATTACCATCTAGTCGGGCATACTCACAGTTCGACGGTCGGCTGTAATCTGTTATGCGATAAAAGTACCTCGTGGGTGTGAAATTGACTGGTATTCGGCACTCCTGTTGCGTTAAATGTATTCAGTAAAACGTTGAAAAGCTATGGCAAAGTTAAAATATGGTTAAACCTACTTCGAAAAATGCCTTCCGCTTGTATAACGCTCACTGTTGGTAAGTAAGTATAGCAAGTAGACTGTTAGCAGTATCGGCTATGGCGCAACACAGACAGACTTGCGGCACACACCGGACCGAATAACATAATGTAAACGAGAGCCAGACATTATTGATTGTGCACCAATTCGAGAAAAAAACGACAGGTCGCAGGAGTCTGCGCTTCGCCGCAAATCTCGCCAGACAGAGGTCGGAGTGTGATTGTTTGCTATACCTACGTCCTGCCGCAGTGCCACTGTGGGCGGAAATTCAATAAAAAAAACCACTTTAGCTCAATCAAGTACAGTACCCGAGTTTCGCAATGATTCGAGCAAAATGTTTTAAATATATTATGTTTTAAACAAACGGTTTTGTTTTAAACGTTTCGTTGAAACGTACAACAAAATTCAGATTTCACGGTACATACCGTTATAATAATATCAAATATGTATTATTATTAGTATTTTTTCAATTAATTTATTTAATTTTATGGACGATGTACAAATACAATGTAATAATAACAGTGATAGTACAATACATGGATAATAACCGATACACAAATGAGAATAAATACAATATAGAAAATAATTATATTATAATATAAAAACAACAAGAGAAATAGAAATCACTTAAATATAGAGAATTATCAGCTAATCTGCCAATGTATTGCCAAAAGACATTAAAATATTTATCGGATGGTTTAACATATAATTTCAAGGGACACGAGGTACATAAAGTAAATGGTTGTTACGAATATTATGGTTTTCCAATGATGTTTATTTGTTGTGTCTAGACATGATAAATTTTCGCCTGTGGACCGATTTACTCCTTCACCCCCGAAAACCGGGAACCCCCCTCCCCAAAAAACGCCCTCCTTAGTAATGTTTCTAAAAAAGATGTACCAGTCTTTAATCTTGTAGCTCGTATACAAACTAACATAACAATAGGTTAGTATAATGGAGTTGGAACACCATTGGACACCATCTGGTAAGTCGTTACTTACCATGAGAATAGATTACTTCACGGCTCTGTGATATTTATAAGACAACTGCCTAGTATAATCTAACTAAAAAAGTAAACTAAAACTACTCAGTAGATGCAGTTGCTAAAAAACACATTAAAGAAAACGCTTCGATGCAGATCTGTGGATACTGGACCCCACTTTAGTAATTTCTTAGGTACTGTGCTGGATTCTTACTATTTCCAGAATCGCATCGAAGCGTTTGATTGTGATAAAACCACATTCAGATTAAATTTGAATCTATGTGCACCAACTTTGCTAAATTCTTCTGTACTGATTTTTTTAATTTATCTCTTTTTTTTTGTGTTTGTATGAACACGTTTTTCGATTGAGATATACATCAACAACATAATCGCAACTCTGCTAACAACAATGCATATAAATTCAATAACAATTATCAAAACAATGTTTTTGTTGCGTACCTTTCGGCATATTCCACCGAGTTAAGTCAACACTGTGACTTGATCACGTTTAAAAACGGTGTACCGAAAGCATGTCTGTTAGCATACACAGCAAATACACACACTGGTTTGCCTTAGAGTTTCAAATAGACTTTTTTTTTTAGCGCGTACCGGACGATAATATGTCTTTAAACACCTCTGACCGAGTACTGTCCGCTTTTTTTTTCGTGTATATTATTTGACAAAAATATTTACAATCTATAACCCTAATATTTTCCCTTGTTTTTATTATTGTATTAAGGTTAATTTATAGAAATTGATATCTATACATATTTTCTCTTACAGGTTTTTCAACCAGGACAAATGCAACAATTAGGTCCGTATACTCGGTTTTTTTCAGTAAACATCATTCCAAAAAAAATAATTAATATCTTACTATGTCAAATACGTAATTCTAAAAGTTAAAGGGCAATCTAACCTCGTTGCAAGCGACTGGGCCATGTTATTTCTCTGCTGTATTTCTTTGACGGTCAAACAACATAATTGTTAGGTTAGGTATTAGGTAGTTTTCAAATGAAAGAGTTTTTTAATTTAGTTAAAATACTGGTTTATTTTACAATGAGTAACTTAAAGAAGACACAATGAAATAAAGATTAATTATAGAACTCTATAATTATTGTCTACGTAACACACCACCAATCTTCATTTCATTGTTTCTTCTTTAAGTTTCTCATTGTAAACGAAAAAAAAAAAGTATTTTAACAAAAATTCAAAAATTGTTTCACCTAAAAACGATAAAAATATTGTTAATATACTTAAGTAATATATATTTAAAATAATATTATTACAACGAACGTTTACTTTTAAACAATAATTAATACCATAGCAACGATAGCTGTACATGAACACCTATACTGATGGATTATATATTAATGAAGGAATAAAAAAAAAAATGTTGATTACAAACCATTTGATTGTGTATCGTCGTGACCACTAACCAGATTTAGACCAGAAAAATAATAGTCCCGTTGAAAATTTATATTTTATATTTTTGGTATATTCTCCTCGTAAATTCTCCTTTGGCTGAATTACTTTAAATTGAATTTGTATATATTATAATACATACAAATGATGAAAAATGACCAAAAAAAAATAAAATATCAGGTCACAAGCTAATAAATCTAGCGAATAGCTTAAATTAATAATCGGCCGTTGCATGTAAGAAAAAGTCTTGTTTTGGCCATTTTCGTTTTCGTACCGATTTCGTTACCTACAGCGCCTCATTTCAATGTCTCGTGTGGTTTAGTAATACATATATTGTCAGCCAGAGGACGCCACACAACCTGTTTATACTGTAAATGGAATTGCATACAACAATGGAAGCATATACGGCCGTACGGCGCCTCTGATTTTCCGAGCCGCCGGTTTGAGACCAGTGCAATTTTTCAAATTTATCACACAAAAGCGGTGATGATGGAATAGTGGATTTTTGCGCCAAGCGTGCCGTTTTAACGGTTTCAATCGAATTGCGAATTTTTTTCGAGCCGAGTGCCAGGGTTTATTAATGAAAAGCAAAGTTAACACGACTACTGCCATGTGTTCGTTTCTCGACATTGCCGCGGTATATATACGAGGATCGGATTCACCGTTAACCAGGGGGCGCGATGGCAGCAAGCATCAAACTAGCCATAAGGCTTAAACGTTGAGCCGTATGACGGCGAACCGTTGGGAATCGGCCGGTTCAACGTGACATTCCCCCTGGAAAATACATAGAAAACCGACGCATTGTTTCTCACATAATAACGTCTGAAAACAAGCTGACTTCGGCGTTTGCTGTCGACTATAATCCCCCGCCCAAAAATTTTTTGTTTACCAACAATACGAATCACCCTTCTTATTTATTTATTTTTTTTCGTTAACAGCCGTGGAATTAATTTTATTCTATTTGTTAATACTGGTTTTTGTACTATGCTTATGACCAGGGTTGTCGTGTGTATCATATTATTATTACAATACATTTATAGAGTATTGTAATATTTGGGGGATTGCCTAAGCTAGGTAACCAAAAAACCAGACAACATTTCGTCCACTCAGGACGGGTACGGTTTCGAATCTGTAAACATATACCAGTTATTCGGAAACTTTGCTAGATAATAGGGTGTACGGATTTTTAATTTTTATGTAAAAAAAATCGGGTTTTATGTTGAAAAATATGCATATTTAATAACAAGAAAATGTAAATGAATTGTTTATAGGAATCTCTTTTTTTTTTAAGTATTGCCTTTACAACATTTCTTAAAAACAGACCGCACGCAATTTATATTGACATAATATTGTGTTATACATTGTTAGAAACGGAAAAAAGTAAAACCAGTACAATAGGGTTTGGGGCGAGGGTAGATGTCTTTATGAATTGTTAAAACGAATGGTGATACTATCTCTTTCAAATTAATGCTTCGATGCGTATCTGACAATGGCCACAATAATAAAAATATCGATAAAAGCATTAATGTGATTAATATTGTATTTTTTATGAAACCATTGCCAAGTGAAAAACGCGATTAAAATTGAATTTCGCTTAATTTTCCGTTGGGTTAAGTTAGGTTAGTTGCCATCTTTACTAATAGACAATACCGTAATCAACGATGTAATACACTTATATTCAATTACTTGTCAGCATCGCACTGCCGTTGTATTTTGTGATATAGTAATAGTATTTATATTATCAACCAGAGAACGCCACACAACCTGTTTATATAGAAAACGAAATGTCTTACTAAAAGGGATTGCCTGTCGGTTTTTTTTTTAGACCAAAAAGACAAACAAAATTTCGACTACTTGGGATGGTCCGATTTCAGTTCTGTGAAGTCATAAGAGTTATTTGGCAACTTTACTATGTTTTGTAACAAACAGATTATTGATTTTTTGTTGCTTTTATGTAAAAAACCGGGTTTTCATATCGAAAAATTGTTGCAAATTTAATTAATTTAATTACTATAAACTGAAATTTTTTAATAAAAATCGGCTGCCTATGGATTATAGTAAAGTAGCCAAATAACTCAAATATCTTCGCAGAATTAAAATAGGACCATCCTATGTATTTAAAATTTTGTCTTCAAATATGTTCACTGAAAAAAAGTTATGGTGACCTCAGGCGCAAAAAAAAAGACATTATTGTAAAAATAATACCTCCAGTTGTCAGCCAAAATGGCAAATGTATACTATATTTTGTTACGATTATTTAATCGAATAATTAAATTGAATTTTAACTTAGTTCCGTGAGTTTCGTTCCGAAAACAATATTGTATATCAGTCCAAAATACATAACTTGAAAATTGTTTTTTATTCACCACAGTTTGTCTTTCTGTACTTAAATAGATGACAGTGAAAACTTTGATATTGGGCCATAATTTTGTACTGAAGATTTACTATTGGCTACGATATGGAGCTGAGAAAGTATTGTATTTACAATGACATGTTTTCAATTTCTTTTTAATTTTTGTGTCTGAACTACGACGTTGCTTAAGCCGCTGAACCGATTTCTTTATGCGGCAAGTCATTAGAAGGGTACTTTATTAAGCCAACAATTTAAAAAAATATTCATCCATTTCCCATCAAAATTTCCCAACAAAAATTGTACATATTTTTCCAAAATATTATTATTACTACCGAAAAACGTTGATAAACTAAAAATAATATCA